AGTTTACACAGTTCTTTCAAGTAATACTAGTGCACACCAGCAATGGTCATTGTGATATGCTGAAAGTGGTCGTCTAACACTCTCAGTCAATATTGCCACCAACTGTTGCTCAAGCTAATGCTTCCCCATTAACCAAAGTATCAATGGTGAATGATAAGCTGGAGACTCTCATTAAGCAATAAAACATTAGAAAACAATTTAAAGCTGAATGCAAAGCAACTCCAGTGACTATAACCACTGTAGTGAGATGAAGCAAATACACAGAGCTCCTGTACGCTGACTGGGTACCTTTGCCAGGTCTGCTTCCTCGCTGCTGCTGCACCTCTTTCCCAGTCTCCAAAGCTCACGTGGCATCTGAGGACCTCTTCCACTAGACCAGGCTGCAGTGAATATTGCTCAGTAGACCTTCTTTCTTGTAAAGCAGAAACTATAGCTTTTTCCCTCACACATTAGATGATTCTGAATGTAGGAGGTAGAATGGAATTTTATTACACAACACACAGCTATTTATACACCACAATATTGATTCTCCCTGCAAGGGGTCTTTCATTCAATAGAATATACAGTACAGTTGTCCCTAACCGGCGCCACTCTGTCTGGGGGACTACATTATCTCGAACTAACACAATCTGCTCCCTGCTCTGCCCTCATAGTCCTTAAAGCACAGCACACAAAATGTCCCTCAGAACCTCCATCCCTGGACTGTATCCCTACACAATAGATATATATCTGAAAAGCTTATCACAGAGTGCCCTCACTGTCCATATCGTGCCCTAATTGGAGAATCTCCGGCCGAGTTACATAATGTTAAAGTTTTACCGGGTTGCAGCTTTGCTCAGATCCAGTGGTGAGTTTCAGGCATGCGGCAGCTTAGTCTCAGTCTACAAAAAGGAATTCCTGAACCTTTGGGAAAGGGAAGGCACTCAGGTCCCAGGTATCTTCTGATGCGTCATTGACTTCCCCATCATCCCTCCGAATAGCACTCTATTTGGGGGTGTAGGGACCAAACTATACACGCGTAAAGATGAGTGGAACAGTTCCAGAGTGTTTTAGGATATCTTGAGGTGCTAAATTTAAGTCCGGTTGGGAAGCACAGTAATAGCTGGTGCTCCCATACACCTATTTACAGTGACAATAAACTAATTTAGGGCCTCTTGGTACCAGGCCCATTGTCGGTGGGCAGGAGGCTTCAAGCCTATCCAAATGTCTGTGGCATGGGAGCTTCCATCACAGTCCCTTCAATACATATATTTTTTATTGTTAGAGAAACTCATAATTCCACATATCTGACACAAGTGACACAGTAATTCTCACGAATTGAAGGAATTCACACGTTTAGGGAAGTGACAGTTCCTATTTAGTTATATTAATTTGATACATACTGCTGACTATGGGATATTATAATAAATCGTTTTTTAATAATTCAGTTGCTGCAACAGATGTACATTATCATGCTAAGGGAGTTCTGCAATTTCCCCCCCACTTCTTTAAAATTGTTCATCTGAAGAATATTAAAAATGTCAAGGGACTTGAGCAATACAGAGATGACTATTCAATAAACATTGAAGTGAATCAAACTGAATCTGAATAGAGGGAAATAGCTTACCTTTTCCAAATCAGCTAGTTTAGACTCAATGTTGCCATTTGGAATTGAGTTTGCAACACTTCAGAGTTCAATGAATAACCCGGATAAAAGGGGAATAAGATAATGATACTGGAACTTGTATTTATTATTAATTCTACAAATAGAAATAACACATCTAACTAAACTTTCAAATATGTTTTCTTACAGCGGCAAATTTCAACCAGAACCAGAACATGATTGAATCTAGTGGTATGTTAATAAGCAGTTAAGATACATTAAAGGGACACTGTAGGCACCCAGATCATTTCAGCCCATTGAAGTGGTCTGGGTGCCACCTCATATCACCCTTAACCTTAAGTGTAATTATTGCAGCTTTTGTAATCTGCAATAATTACCTTGCAGGGTTAAGTGCTCCTCTAGTGGCTGTCTACCAGACAGCCACTAGAGGGACTTCCGGCTTCTTAGACGACTTTTGGTCGTCTAAACTACGCTGGACATCCTCACACTATGCATGAGTACCTCCAGCATCGCCGGAATCCCCATAGGAAAGCATTGAATAATGGTTTCCTATGGGGAGGTCTAATGTGTACGCCCATTGGCGCGCATGCGCATTAGGTCTCCCCTGCCGGAGGATGTGGAATGGGGGGCACTCGAAGATTCTACAGTACCAGGAAAACGGCTTTGTTTTCGTGGCACTAGAGAGTCCCATTAACAGCACAGATCAGTGCAAGACAACATACAGTGCAAATTGAAAAACATTAGCAGAAGTCACTATGCAGTACAAGGTGCAATATGCAATAATGTGCAGTTCAAAATGAATTATGCAAAAAAAATAAAAATAAAAAAATAACATGCACATCATAGTTTATAAGGACATTACACATAACTCAATGTACATAATATGCATAGTATACAGAAGGAAAATGTTCATGGTTCTTTTCATAGGGTAATATATACTGTGTATATTTCCCTATAAAAAGAATTTTAGGAATAATTTACACTGATCATCCACAACATTAAAACTGCATGCCTAATATTTTGTATATCCCCCTCATATTGCCAAAACAGCTCTGATGCATCAAGGCATGGACTCCACAAGACCTTTAAATGTGTCCTGTGATAATTGACACCAAGATATTAGCATCAGATGCTTTAAGTCCTGCAAGTTGCGATTTGGGGCCTCCGTGGATGGGAATTGTTGTTCCAGCTTATCGCACACATTGCTCAATCAGATTGAGATCTGGACAATTTGGAGGCCAAAGCAACACCTTGGACTCTCAAGGTAAACAATGCACACGCACCTGGCCATCCACCTGATCTAGAAAAAAATGTGATTCAGTCAACCTTCTTCCATTGTTCCATTGTCCAGTTTTGACACTCACATTGTTAGTGAACACCCTTTCGGCGGTGGACAGGGGTCATCATTGGCACACAACCCCATATGCATCAAACTGCAATGCACTGTGCATTCTAACACATTTATTTTATGGCCAGTATTACGTTTTTCACCAGTTTGAGCTACAGTAGCTCTTCTGTGTGATCAGCCGGCTTCTCCGGTTGTCCTTTAGTATGTACTAACCAGTGCATACTGGGAGCATCCCGCAGGACTTGCCATTTTCAAGATGCTCTGACCTTGTCTTCTAGCCATCACTATTTGGCCCTTGTCAAAGTCACATAGATCTTTTCACTTGCCTATTTTCCTTCTTCCAGCACATGACATTCAAGAACTGACTGTTCACTTGCTGGCTAATATATCACACACCTTGACAGGTGCCATTGTAATGATATAATCCATGTTATTCACTTCACCTGTCAGTGTTTTAATGTTGTGGCGGATCAGTGTATAACTATATATATATATACATACATATATACACATTTAAAATAAACTCTGATGCTGTAAATTAAAATTTACAATAACTTTGCTTACTGTTAAAACAAGATTAACTAAAAAAAAAACTTTTACTGTGTTCACTTGCAGTGGCCAACCTAACGAAGAAAGTGAGCATCCTTGAAACATCTTTGCCAAGACTTGGTACGGTAATATGCTATACATTACCTTTCAGTACTTAGTAGAACCTTGACAATTGTCCAAATCTAATAGGACTGCTCAGATTTTGGACCCTATGCAACCATGTTTCATTCTTTTTCATAAAAGAGACACCAGAGAAGATTCTTGCTATTGCTTGCCTTTCTAGAGCTTTTATGCCCATTCAAAACTACTTCAGCGTCTATTAACACATAGACATTGCTGACAGTACCCTTTGATGGTCTTGTGTGACATCAGTGATGTGAACTGCATCACTGATATGTGGCTATTATTATTTCCATTTTTACCATCAAAGCAGTTGTTTAATAATGGTTAATTCAGGTAAACATAACTGTTTTGATAGCTTGAGATTCATTGTGTATTATCATTATTATTCACTGAAGTGAGAATTGTTGGGAAAATCAAAGTGAATTCAAAGTAAATTTCAAGTGTATTTCATAAATTTCCTAACTGGAGTCATAGCTGACCTGAAGAACTTTTTCAGTTCTGCTATTTTACTCTTAAATTTGATATTTAACTTGACTTCACTTTGAATTCAACAAAAATGTAATTCCTTCTAATATTTCAAATGCATAAACAGGGACACATTTATTTTAAGGGTGTGAGTGAGGGTGTAGGTAGAGATCAGGCTGCTCTGAGAAATATTAGATGACTTACTAATTACAATTTATGTAACTAAAATGTAATTTAGAACAAGAACTGTAAAGAACCCACACCACAAGGGCCTGTAATCACATCTATGGCACATATCCCTCTAACGCGCTGAGCACCTCCCAGCGGAGCGCCACTCGGCATCTTCGACATGCTGACCGCAAAGACCCAGAGGTACTTCCAGAGCGGCCACGGCCAAGATTCAAGGTGAAAATAGTTCCAGGCAGCCGCTCTGGAATGTCCTCAAAACTTTAACTTAGTGGCGTTTCCTCTACAGACTTAAGATCAGGGCTCTATTTTCACAGACTGGGCATTTAAAGAGAACTATCTGAGGATACTATATGTGTGGGGGTCATATATGTTTTTCATATGTTTTTGGGGTAAAATTGTGCCAGGCCCATCTGTGTATGGGAGATAATTCAAACTGAAGTTTGTTGCAATCCTCTCCCAGACACAAAGGCGCTTGGATGGGCTAACTGTGTTTTCAATAGAGACCCCATGCTGGGGTTCTGGTTATATAAACTTGTGTTTCTTTTAATAAAAGTTGTTGTATTACCCTTCATCAAGTCTTGAGTGGTGTTTGGGTAGGAAAGAGCTAAAATCACGTCCTTGCGGGACTTGGGAAAGACATTCAACAGAGGTACTATTCAGAGTACAGAAGCTCCGTTACAAGAACAATATATCCGATGATTTTAAACACATGTATTGTAGAAAGTATCCTAGAAAAGAGGGACATTATGACAGAAAAGAGAGGCAGACGGATATGTGCCCAAAATAGGGACTTTCCCTCTTAAATAGGGACACTTGAGAGGTATTCAATTTTCACTTTAGTTAAGAACTCTGGATTTTCTAATAGTTTGTTTTGAATATGTAGAATACTTGATATGAAGAATTCCAGCAATCCATTTTTGTTATGATGGCTATAAAATGCTGTCTGCGGAGCTCGGTTCAGTTAGTTCATGAGTAATTTAGAATATTTACTACACGGAGCTGTTGATTCACTCTGTATTTAAAGTATTCAGAGCATTATTAATAGTTAACATATATTCAGTTGATTTTATTTGACTTATGTTTTGTTTTTCTTAATTTTTATTCTCCTTGGTAGATCTCAAAAGGACTTTAGTTAATAAAACTAATTGTTCATCCATTTGGGTCTGTTGGGATTCCTTGAAATGCTGCTATACAACCAGGCAATTTTTTTCAAGAGCAGATCTCACTTTCTCCTTGAAGATGTTAAGTCCTGTAACATTCATCCTACCACTGTTCTAGAGATTTAGGCAGTAATGTTAAACCTGAGAGTAGCTGTACATACACTTCCTAAAAAGTGGGAAGCGATACCTGGTGACAGGTACTTACATAGTGCAAACAGGGGCATTCCGAGGTCAGAAGATCAAGAGAATAGAATAGATGACATCCCTAGTCAATGAGTAGAAATGTGAAAAAGTTAGGTTGCTCCAGTTTGTCCAAATAAAATGCCTTTTAATCCATATCTGGATGATTCAATTCATCCAAGATTCACTTGTGGGGTCTTATTCATTGGGCAAGATTCCCCAGATAAATCTCAGACCAATCGATAAATTCTTATATGGATTTTAAAAGTAATTTGATTCACACAAACTGATACAAACATGTTTTTCCACAAGTCTACTAATAAGTCAATGTAGGTAATGGACAAACAATGACATGTGAGCCAAGTTCTGGTACATAAATAGGCCTCTTCCAAGAATGTGTTCTACAAACATGTAGACAACAACCAGATGAGCGCGGAAAGAAGGGGAAGGCAGATACATGACAGCTGGTGAGAAATGTTTTAGATGGTGTACACCTTACGACTTTTTCTACTGTATTATACAAAGGAAGTCACAAATTGTACTAAAAGTGGTGACCCATTAAACTAGTGACAGGTTACACTGCCTGAATGGGCATCTCTGTTCTCTGATCCTTTCTGAGCCTATGAGTAACTGCTGCATATCAGAACATTGAAAAACTGGAATTCCTTGTCTTCTCTTACTCCAATATAACTTTTAAATTTTCTATAATATGAGACGTTGATCATACATGGATAAAAGTGTATAAATCGCATCTGTTTGTGTTCTATGTAACTGTTAGAAAATCCACTTCTTATGTGGTATCTGACCCCATACACGTAGTTAGAAAGCTAAAGACCAATCTTTATTGACAAAGAGAAGAGTATTGCCCACAAGCTTAAAAAAAACCCTGTGAATATATTTTGTGATGTACATTTATATTTATTTATGGAATTTCAAAACACAAGCACTTTTCTATGTAAAATCCATTTTCAGTATGTATAAAGGCTTATATTAAATCTATTTTCTAATCCAAATGTTCCCGCTGTAGCTATATCAAACTGATTTTATCTTTCTTCAGAGACAGGCTGTGGCACTGGATGGATGGAGTTCAATAACAGCTGCTATTTTTTCACAACAATTAAATCGAACTGGTTTAAAGCCAGGACATTTTGTGTAAGGAAGGGAAGTGATCTGACTGTAATTACCAGCGAGATGGAGCATGTGAGTTTTTCTATTTATATAATTTTTTTATGAACTCAGTACTACAAGAACATGTTATAATTTATGTTAGATGCTATATCAGTGCTGCATTGTGAATTGATGATCTCAGCCATAGAGGCGGGGCCAGCCGCGGCGTAACCGACGCGCCGATGAAGAAAAAGGTATGTTAACTACCTTTTTACTACAATCTGAGGGGGCCTAGACACTTAAGCAGCCACTCCAGCACGTCAGTGTTAGGAACAAAGTTTGTATTCCCAACACTGTAGTGTTCCTTTTAAAGTAAAGTTATCAAATACATCTTATTTTGCTTGTTAGATATGAGATATATATATAAAGAAATCTTATTTTGCTTGTAAAATACTGAAGATATTGAATAGGAACTGAACCAGTTAGAGCTGTTTGGGTGTGTTGTCCTAAAAATTTGAGGATTTGAGTGCTTCAACAATATAGAACAGGCTTTCCCAAACTCCGGCCCTCCAGATGTTGCTGAACTACAACTCCCATGATGCTCGGCCTAACTATTTCATTCATAGAATCATGGGAGTTGTAGTTCAGCAAAATCTGGGGGGCTGGAGTTTGGGGAAGCCTGATTAAGAAGATAGATAAAAATATAGTAGCAATGTTTAGTGTAGCTTTGACCATGCATGATTAAAGGACCACTATAGTGCCAGGAAAACATACTCGTTTTCCTGGCACTATAGTGCCCTGAGGGTGCCCCCACCCTCAGGGACCCCCTCCCGCCCGGCTCTGAAAAGGGGAAAAGGGGTTAAACTTACCTTTTTCCAGCGCTGGGCGGGGAGCTCTCCTCCTCCGATCCTCCTCCGATCCTCCTCCTGGGCTGAATGCGCACGCGCGGCAAGAGCTGCGCGCGATTCAGCCCGCGATAGGAAAGCATTTACAATGCTTCTATGGACGCTTATGCTCTCACCGTGAAAATCACTAGTGAGACAGCCACTAGAGGATTAGGGGGAAGGCTTAACCCATTCATAATTATAGCAGTTTCTCTGAAACCGCTATAATTATGAAAAAATGGGTTAACCCTAGAAGGACCTGGCACCCAGACCACTTCATTAAGCTGAAGTGGTCTGGGTGCCTAGAGTGGTCCTTTAAGGCTACAGAGGAAATGGATTTACTACCTTTCTGGTTGCTGCAATAAATGCACCTTTTTAACTAAAGTTGTGCCTTCTACATTCTATGTGGCTATAATATTGTGGCAATGTCACTTTTAGGAACTATGCATTTTTTGGATAGCTCCAGCGTGTAAAGCCTGGAGGGAAGATATACCTTCATGAATCTCTCTTCCTCATCACAACTTGGCAGTTTCATCTACCGGGAGCTGTGTCATTGTATCACTGATTCACTTTTGTGTGTGTTCAATAGAGCAAAACAGATGTCCATGGAATGTCTCTCTAAACCACAAGGTCTTCTATGTGCATTCTTATTTGGACGTCAGTCATTACTTTATCATATGATTATCCCCTTACTGCTTTTATATACAAAGCAATTTAATTACTTTTTAACATACTCTTTTCCGCAAGTGACCATTTAACCCCTTAAGGACCAAACTTCTGGAATAAAAGGTAATCATGACATGTCACACATGTCATGTGTCCTTAAGGGAAGAACATTTCAAACACATTTCAAAAACCCAAAGCAATTTAGATTGCAGAAATGCTTTACTTGTGAAGAGTGTGTCCTCTTTATTTAATTTTAGAAATAGTGCAGATTTCAATAGATATGGTCCTGTTACTTCCTGGTTGTTTAGCTTAGTGGAGCTAAACTCAAGAGCATGTAAATTCCCCAGCCTTGCAATCAGGGCCGGACTGGGGATACAAAGCAGCCCTGGAAAAAAAAATTGTGCCAGCCCCATAAGTCACTGCGCCATATATTGTCGCGTGTAATATGTAAGGCTATGTCTTGCCAGGACAGATGATTGAGTAATATAATATATATATATTGCTTTTTCTAATATAAAATATTGGTCCTTTCAGGGTAAAACGTTTAATTATACAGTAAGCATACGCACATGCAGACACAGGCAATTTCACTGACATTTCAGTGACACACACAAGCTCATTGATACACAGCCTCATAGACAAACAATCTTATTGATATACATCAGCTCATTGACATAAAAACACAAGCTCACTCACTAGAAGGCACACGCATGCAAGCAAGCTCACTCACTAGCAGACGCACACAAACAGCTTAATGTGGTGGTACTGGTGTCTATAGCATGTCCCTACAGGCTTTTCAACGTAAACACTGACTTTTCAGACAAAAGGCAGTGTTTACATTGCTTCAAAGTGACACTGCTAGTGACTCAGTCACTCAGACGTCACTAGAGGTGCTTCCTGTGTTAGTGCCCTCCCGCCCTCGCGCGCTGCTGAATGAGACTGGCACCGGAATATGACGTCATATTCCGGCGCCGGTCTCATTCAGCTGCGTGCTGGGGAGCAGAGCCAGCGCAGCTCACGCAGCTCCCTCCCTGCAAGGATTTTTGCCGCCCTAGACAAAATAAAAAATTTTGCTGCCCCCACATGTCACATCACAATGCCCCACCCATATGATCTGCCATATGAACTAACGCCAGTGCTGCACACAGTGTGTGTTTACATTAAAAAGCCTGCAGGGACCAGCTATAGACACCAGAACCACTTCATTAAGCTATAGCGTCCCTTTAATGTGAGGTACATTATAGATTAGTGTCACTAATAA